GCTGGTCTACATCAAGCGTGATAGGTAACACTCTAAAGTTGCGATACGCTTTCAGGCCTTCGATAAAGACGAGTTAGTCGAAACGTCAGGCGAATAAAGATTCCACTATTAAAAACCTGTATGGCACAGAAGAGTTGACTAATAATAATACAGATGCCCAGGTTTAAAGAAAGGCAAACATGGAGATTGCTCCAGAATGTCTGGCCAGATTCTCTAAACCCGTTCATTACTGACCAAGGGCTCCATCATCACTGGTCAGCGGCTCATTAGATTCTTGTAATGACTAGCTTACAGATGATTCTGCATTAGATAAACACTGAACTATGGAGCCAGGAGAACGTCCGATTCTATCGTCGACAAAATAGGTCATCCCGCACAGGTCGCGCCCGCGCACTTTGAATGGGCTTTGCGTACTGGATTATTTTCCCATTCGCGGACATTCGAATATTACATCGAGTACATTAATGTTGCAAAAGTTGGGTATGTTTCTAGTCGGCAATGTCATGAGACCCTGAGCAGCGATTCACTGCCTCCTTTCCTGATTCCCCTTTTGTCTATTCTATTTCTATCTATATTTCTATACGGGAATTGAACCCGACACGCCTCATTTTACTTCCGCTCTACTTCTGCAAGCACGTCTGAAGCAACTTCGTAGTGATCTGACATGGTTTTTCTCTCGAGCTTTACACCTGTTGTCGTGAGCAAGAAGCGACACGGCCCTCTTTTGAAATAGAGGCTCATTCTGTGGTTTCGTAAGGGCACCATACCAGGGATACAATAGACCAGACAGATGTGCACTGTATAAGTTGCACACGAGACTCAATGGACAAGAATTTCCAAGGTTCGCTGAAGGCACAATCTGGAACCATACGGGAATACACTCGCTCTAAAAGGCTGAAACTTCTTGGTTTTTCACTTCCTAGGTAAAGTTCCATTATCATATAACATTATGCCAGTTTCTCTTATCGCAGAGCGAGAAGTGCATTTCTGAAGACAATACTACACCAGAAGTTTACTCCATTTTTATTCACCTCAGAGTCCAGCCTTTGACATTCTCATTCACCTCAGAGTCCAGCCTTTGACCATCCTACTTATTCTCAATGGGTTACGCTGTAGACAGCAACCCTCACATAAACTGAGCCATACAACAAAAGGAGCCGTGACAAAAATTAAATCCTTCTTCAAAAACTCCCCCTCGAAGACATTTTGCGTACTCCAAGGTTTCAAAAATGACATGCATCAACTATCCATTTTAGCAGGAAGCCACTACGCAGAAGAGGCGATCTCAATAACAAGGATAATCCGAGCGAATCAAAAACCGCAGTAATGTCGAAAGCATCAAAATAAATACAAATCGGATTCGAATTTGATAAGGCTTCTTGGAAAGTTCCTTAGCATAGCGAGCTTCCATCGTAATGAATTCGCAATAACACCTTTATCCGCGTTCCAAGGAGGAAATACTTAGAGGCAATGAGCGCGTTGAAATGCAGAGTTTAGCAGACTAGCAAAAATGATATTAAAATTACATCATACCTTGCCTAAGTACGTGGCAGTTGAGGTATGCATGGAGAGGTTCTCGAGCTGATAGAAGGGAGTGAGATCTTCCTTGTTCGCTATTTTCTGTGCATCCGCATATAAGTGGAATCCTTGTTTTATCAACTGAAAGAAGGGGATTTTGCAGAAAGCTTTGTTCCCCTAACATTTCTTTGTTGAGGATTGACCTAGGCTCCGAGATGAGTTACAACTTTTATTCACGANCTGATAGAAGGGAGTGAGATCTTCCTTGTTCGCTATTTTCTGTGCATCCGCATATAAGTGGAATCCTTGTTTTATCAACTGAAAGAAGGGGATGAAGAGGATTTTGCAGAAAGCTTTGTTCCCCTAACATTTCTTTGTTGAGGACTGACCTAGGCTCCGAGATGAGTTACAACTTTTATTCACGACTAACGTTTCGGCAGATTGTCTTTTTGGAGACTGTAAGTGGAATATTTATTCCTCGTTAGGTTACCTTTACGAATTACATTAAGAATATTCTAAGGGTGGTTAAACAAAAGCGATGAAGTTGACCTGTACCCGACTGGAGCACTCTCCGACCCAACCCCTGGATCCAACACATATCAGTCCTCGAGGAACTTTGAGCTCCGGGTGCCGAAAAACCAGCTCCACTGGGATACAGGTCAGCTTCATCGCTTTGCCCTTACAAATATTTTTTTCTAACTTGACAAAGTAACCTGATGAATCACAAAGATTCATTCGACTTTCAGGCTCCGATGAAAGCGATTCCGCCGAAAATTAGTCGTAAATGAAAGTTGTTACCAATCTCAGACTAATCCACAACAAATTGGACCATGCAGAGATTAATGGAGAGTCGGTCGTGGAATATTCTGCTTTTTTCCTGATTACTGGTATATGCTCTGAGAAACTGCATTTATCTGCAAAGAGTAAAACCTCGTCAGCTTCACAGGAGTCGTTAATTGAGCATGGAATTTACCTACAAAGGTTGTGAACTGGCTGAAAAGGAGCGCCATTTGCTCCTATCCCGCCCTCACCCAACCCCAACCTGAGAGTAATGACACAAAACAATCTGATAAGAATCGTGTTTTAAGTGCATCAGGTACTGCTGATTTAAAAACAGTAGGGTGTTCTACCTTCATGTTTGAATCGAAACAACGTTCAGCAGACCTCCTGACTGACGCCTATTTGGACCGCCCCCTTATACTTAGATACATGTGTCTAGGTTATTCCTCGACAAGTACAATGAAAATTATGAGTTTCACAGATTTGAAACAGCTCCACCTTCATGATATGTTGAGCCCAAGTGAACGGACTTGAATAGAATATTTCAAAAAAATCGTAGAAAACGAACCAAGTCGCAATCAACGGGTCCTGATCCGAACATTACTTCAGGGTTTCTTTCCAGAATCGTGGCAATTATAGACAATAACTGAAATAAAGCTTAAACTCGCATAAAAATAAAGCTTACGTGCAAGTATTGAACAAATCCTCCATCATAAGACGGCTATTATTGAAAACGACGCTAAAATATCCCGAGCTTATCCAAAAGCCAATAATCACTTGTTTGAGCGGATTATCATAAGGCTATGACACGTCGACTAATCACAGCGATTTCGCTGTAAATAGACGAATATACGAGCTTCTTATCCGTAAATCCGGGACAATAGATAAGCCGCGAGAAAGTAACGCGCAGCAAAGTCGTAGGTATCGTCACGAACGGACTTATTTTTGGAACCTGCTTCGAACGAACTTCAATTTGCTGAGATGCAGTTACCCTTGCCATGAACGTGGTCAGATGCCACTAAAACGCTCTTACGATTACCCAGCAAAGGTGAAACCGTGGCAGGATCGTTTTTCCACACTGTTACAACATTTACCCCTCTACTTTAATAAAATCGCGTCTTTCCCACCAGAACGACCCATTTCCTAATCTACCAGGATTTGAAGATTGAAAAAGGATGAAGTGATCCAAAAGATGTAATCTTCTTGTCGTTTAATGACGTTGTGGGCACAGCCATTCAATACCCACTCAGGAGTTTTTGACTCAATATTTGGCCCACATAATGAATGGCTTGTGGACAGCTATCCTCCTTACTTCAAGCAGAAAGCAAGTTTCGGGAAGGATGGGAGGATCGTTGACTAACCCTTCACAGAGTAGATTTTTCAGACTATACATGGCCCTGCACTTCATTGCGTAGGCCACCGCGACTTCGAGTGGGAGCCGGGAGTGTGTCTGTATATCAAGGATGGTTTAGATCAGGGACAAAAAGTACATGCAGCCGATATCTATTTCTACAACACAGCATGTGATATAACTTGCACTTTGTCTTTCTTCAAACAAAAAAGCAATAGCACGCAAGGATCATGAAGTAGCAAACCTCGACGAGAAGCTGACGATACTCTGGATGTGCAATACGACTGAGCATTTCCTCGATTTTGTACGCGAATGTTAACTCGAATTCCGTCATGTCGCTAAGAGTAGGTTGCTGAAATGCTCGACAGAAGTATACAAACCCCTTTAAGTGCTTAGTGCCCAAATCCCACTTTCAATGAATCTCGACATTTTTCATAGTCTAGAATCTAGAATCGGTTGCACAGAGTTAGAACTAAAGTCACATCCAAAAGAATCAATTAATTCCTTCTGCATGTTGGATTAATACTTGATCGAATAGTTTCTTGAATTGCTTTTGCCTTTCTAGGCTATGGAGAAAGCGGAAGAACCCCGGCCGATCAAAGTGTTATCGAAAATCTAGGTCATCCAGCTTAAAAAGTAACAAACCACAACAAAGTGTTTAGTGCGACAGCATTGATCATTTGACTCTAATGCTTTGACTGCTGAAAGCTCAAGCATCTGCAGTTCTAGTTTGATAAAAGTGAACAACCGAGATTTGCTATCTTGTTAGCATCACTAGATTTATCTCAGTATGCCTTCACATCTGAATGTGGAATTGGAGGATCACATTTATTTCAGCTTGGTCATTCACTGGTAATGTGAAAAGGACCTAGAAAATGTCATCCATTCCCGTAATTTTTCCAAAGTTGTGCAGAAAAAGCGAAATATTACAAAGTGCAAGCAAACTTAGATCTGCTCTGCGCTCTGGGCGTAGGCGTACTTGTCCATAAACTTGAATTGTTCGAAAGACCCTTTCCTTCTGGAGCTTCTGTTGAAGCCCTCAATATGAGTGAATGAATCGAAGTATCTGCATTCACGATAGAAAAAGGATAACTTGGAAGCAACATATTAACTATTTGCTCCAGCTCTGTTAATCACTGCGATAGTACCTTGAAGCGAGTACTTGAATGGAAAACTTGAGCTACTGCTCACCTTTCACACAAACATCTCCGATTCCTTCCCACCCTCCCCCTTGGTTTGAAGCGAAGGTGAAAATGAGGTTACAGTTCCTGGGTTGGTAGGATCGCTATATCTTACTCTGTATCACTATTACGAGTAGCTTTCACAAATAAATTTCTGTGTTGATAGGATAGCCCCCTTCAGAATATGCCCAAAGCAATCAAATATCAGCAAGATTCATGGTGGAATTCGAATGGAAGTTGAGCGCATTGGGACTATTCTCCAATGAATACGTAGTCAAAGGGCTAGTCGGCTGAAGAGGCAGGAGCAGCCACAATTCGAGTCTTTTTCTCATAGACGAGTTTTATACCAGTCAACCATCTCTGGAAGAGTAGGGTTTAGTTGAATGGCTCGGGCAGATACTCATTCGCGATCCAACTCGGGACTAACACTTTTCGTAGCGACGTCCCTTACCGTAAGCTCACCTCACCGACTAGATACAAGTGAATGTCGCTACTGAGCACAATTCGTCCAAGTACGTTGTAGTAATATCTCCACATGTTTCAGAAGCGCTCAGCACTCCTCTGCACACTGCTATATCCTACTCCGTAGTACCACTATTACGAACAGCTTTCACAAGTAAATATATTACAAATGTTTTTGACCGATATTGCGTCTGCTGAAGAATGAATGTGCATATTTTTTCTGTGGATGGTGCAGCCCATTTTCTAGACAGTCCTACTACTCTTCAAAATCCCTCTTATTTTGTTAGCAGACTATTTGTTTATTTTCCTCAAGCTTCCGGGACGTGTTCGAATGGAGGACGAATCCAACTTATCCCCAAGTTGGCAAGCCTCTTCAAGTTCTTCTAATTTGAAATTCCGTGGTATCCAGACAAATCGGAAGAGATGCGAGCATCCTATATATGACAGCAAGGATTTTTGGCCATGGTTAGCATTCTGCCGGCTAACCCAAGTGTCGCATAAGGCAGAGATATCCTCGCGGCATCGTTGCCAGTGACACTCACAGTCCTTGTGCAAATCGTCTTTCATCCTCGGATGAGCGATCGTCATAAGCTCTGAGAGGATTATGAGGCAATCGTGTACGGATAAGCAGCCAGCGCATTAAAATCGCCCATCAAAGTAACCCTAATGTACTGCAATCTTGCTCGAAAGCATATGCTGTCACACAAACATTCCCAAGCTTATATTTCGTAATACTGCCTTGCAACACAAATGAAAAAAAAGTTGGACGAACAGGAGATGACGTAGTTTCGGTCGACGTCCATTACACTTAATAGCCAATGTACATCAGCAAGTAGAACCCTCTATTTGTGAAATTTCGAAATGATGTAAAGAAGAGAGTTGCGTTGAGTAGTAATATTGAAGCATTTCCTCAAAAGCAAGGTAACTGCTGTGTGCAAAAGGTGAGTTGAAAACATTTGTGTACGAGATCCTTGTTGTAATCGAACTAAGGGCTTCGTTTTTTAGACATGCTCATTTTGTAGTCTGAATCTTAAAGCTCAACTTAATCATAATACCTCACGCAAAGTACTGCAAAAAAGAGCAGCTGCTAAATGATTTATATGTATAGTAACACTAGGAAGTCTTCGACCAAACGATTCTACAGTCAAAACCCCTTTCCTACTTGATCTAATTATGCGAAGTTTCACTAGGTATAGCATGGGTGTATTGTGAGTATTTACCACTATTAAATTTGCAATCTGATAATGTTCCAGTTATACTAAATAGTATGAGCTCAAAATCAAGTGGAGATACAGATGATTTTCCTTCTGGGAATTCTTGCCTTTGTCTAAAGTGCACGAACTCTAATGCCAAACACAGAAGAGGAAGACAAGCACGTAGGGTGCGAATAACTGCAGAGGTATCTGACTTTGCTTTTAACGAGCTCTGCTATGGTAACAACCGCCTTCCACTTAGTTATGTATTAGGTTGACGGAAAAGTCTTTGCACATTATGCAACTTTTTTCAATTTTCTTTTTTTTCGTCACGTCAACTAATAATTAACATATATGTATGTCACTATCGACAAGGTATTGCCATTTACCAGGCAACTTGTAGACCTTGCTTGCATAGAATTTCTGGGATTTTGAGAAGAAAGACTCGCCGACGCACGTCCCAAGTTGGTTCATACCACCGAGCTTCTTATTTTCCAGAAGGTTTGACAGCGACAGGAGCAGGTGGTAGTCCGTTAGAGCCAGGTCTGATGAATACGGTGTGTGGGCCAGAACATGCCATCCCAAGCTTTGAAGTTTCTTCTGGGCCTCCTTCGAAATGTGTGGGCGAGCAATGTCATGAAGAAAGTAGATTTCCCTGTTTCTCTCGTAGATATGCAGCCATACGAGTCACAGAGTACATAAGGCTTAGGCGCTGACAGTGGAGTTTGGTAGCAGCATGCCCCAGTGAATGGTCCTTCCGAATGGCTTCAAACGCTAACCATTACCTTTCTATGTTGGAGTTCTGGCTTGGGGGTCGAGATTCCATGCGCTACGCGTCCGAGCCACTGGCGTTTCCTTGTATGGTTCATTTAGGGAACACATTTCTCGTCGCCAGTGAATAAGTCTTCCAGCCATGAGTAAATGAGGCGGAAAGTCAACAAGTTCAGGCATGAATTTCCACTCATTTGGAGGTTGTTACCACCCAGCTCACTACCTATCCATATCTCCATAACTTCATGTGTTTCCAAGCCGATGGTAGTGGGCAGCTACTGTGTCTTGATTGCTATTGAGCTCCTGTTCAAATCGTGTGCACAACACATGGGATTCTCTTCAAGCAGTTCCGGGAGGTGGTCGTCATTCAGGTCAACTGGTCTCCCAGATCGTGGTTTTTCGATCTAATCCAAGTGGCTATTCTTGAACTCGTGGTACATATTTCTTGTTGGCTGTGAGAGACAACGAAGGGTCCTATCGCACTGACTATTTCCCCCGGCGCTCAATTTGAATTAAATATTTTTTCTGAACTTATAAAGCAGAAGCGATTTAACATCCCTTGGGTCGAGAGCGATTTTTGCAGCCATAACCGTTGCGAAATGCTCGGCAGATATGTTATGAGGAGTGCATCGACTTGCACTTACACATATTTCGCAGTGAACGTTTCGAAGCAGCCCCAAGAATTTCACAACGTAAAAACGAAAATGTGGAAAGGTTTTTCCGTCAACCTTATAGATATAGCTGCTTTGCAGTCAAATACGTTTGATAGTGTGAAATATGCTTTAGTTAAATATATCGAAATTTCGCGTGATTTGCTTTACTAAGAAAGATGTTACGGCCGAAAAAGCGTTTGGCCGCTTCTGTATTTGATTAACATATGAATTATGAAACTATGTCATGAGCGAACCTGTGGAAGAAATTGAGACGCAATGACTATCCCCTCCTTTGATCGTGATAAAATGGTCCATACCCGATCGTAGAAGTTTACCGGCATTCTGTTCAAGGCACCGTTCAGACGACGTGTTTGTAGTGGTGATCTGAATTTCAAGCGATAGAGACACCGAATCACACATTTTATCCAAAAATGGAAAGTAAAAACTAACAGAAGATGCCAATTTTTTCTTGTCATGAGCGCTGTCACCACATCTTTCACGACAGTAGGGGACAAGTCATATATGCAACTTTTTTTGAATTCTGAAATCACAATCGCATTAAAAATTCAAATCTACGCTGACTTGATCGAGAAGGTCACAATGTAAAAAGTTGAAGTGCAAAGGTTACAGTAAGCGGGCACGCGTATGGGTTAGTGGGTTTACTGAGAACAGCAGAAGCCAGTATCCAGCAGACGATGAGTTGGTTCTGACGGAGTGATCAAATAAACACTCTTCGTCTCAACTCGTCGTCCAAAGAGGGTTATAGAAAGTTCACGGAAAGTCATTCGGCAAGAAAATGGGGTAAGGCAGTTTTAGGATTTCTGAAGAAGAGGGCAAGTTGGAATAATAAACTGGTAGGCGTTCCATCAAACTTAAGTTCGGAGCCCAATATTCTCATTGCGCTTGCTGATATTCAACATATAGATGAACACAAAGAATACACTTAGATGTCTTCCTATGAGTCCATGATATGATATAAATACAAACAGTGATTTAGGGTTGGAACCTTTTCATGGAAGCAGAGGGGAAGAACACAAGCATAGCTCACGGCTGCGCTAACAGTAAGGGCTGGTTTACATATGTATTCACTGTATGTATAGGTAGGTGTACATATTGTAAATACTAGTCCGTCTACCGCATGCTAGCGCGACTTTTTCCACCTTTCATCCTTTCGATGCGAACTTCCCTTCGGTAGTAGCGGCAACGCCTGCGTTCGCCCGAGCCAGTCAAGTAAGCTGAATTCCATCGGTTCCACCCATACACAAGTGTATACCTCCCCTCTTCCAGAATTACCATTGAGAAGTCTGACCTTCAAATTGCTAGCCGTTTTAGTGTTGGTTTGAAATACTGTCGAATCATAACGATAACTGCGATGGTCCAACACCTATACAGCATCTTATGACAGGTTCGGCATTCTTGATCCTAAATTTGTCTTAAGCGGCAGCGTCACTGATCTGCCTTTTTCAAAGCGCGTTGATCTACGCTCTATGTTGACCTCGCCTACATAGAGTCCAAGATTCTGGAGCCTAACAAGGGAAGGATAATGGATCGCATGGGCCGTTCGAAATGCAATTTATACCCACATATGTGTTTTCCAATACACATTGATGTCAAATTCACAATCCAAATCTGCAAAACAATCCTGGAAACAAAGGGAACATTTCCTCTATGTGGTAGAGGGTTTTGTCTCCCGTGTGCGTGAATTTGTTTGGCATTTTTACAAAATGTATGTACAAAATCTTACAAAAGGCTAACAAATCGGTTTACATCTTCTACTGATTAGCTGGAGCGCACCCTAAAGAACATCGAGAACCATCTTTTATAATAGGTTCTGTATTGTAATTTTTGGACCGCAAGAGCTTCCAAAGCAGTCACGTTGTGTTCGCTAATGTTTAAATACTTGCACAAATTAGGTTCCCTCTGATTCCTCGACTCTTTCCACTCTTTCCGTTGCCTGAAACGAAGAAAGCTTTACTGTCATGATTTGACGTACCCTTTACGATAGAGAGCGTGANTTTCCGTTGCCTGAAACGAAGAAAGCTTTACTGTCATGATTTGACGTACCCTTTACGATAGAGAGCGTGATTACTCCGTAAAGGTCGAAAATAGTGACCTTATCCAGCCTGAGGACGTTAATTGCGTTCCATTACTGCCGAATAGCATTAGCGACGTTCAACAGATTTTTTTTATTTCGCAAGCCTTTAGCATATAGTTCTATAGAGAACAAAAACCAGTTTATGCACATGGGATGAAAACCGTCATGCCACGGTCCACTCCCTTACCTGTGTTTCATCCCAAGCTCAACGACCTGACCTCAAAACAAACCCTATCATATGGAAGATATGCCCCGGAACTTCTTTTCTTGTATCGCTTCACCTTGAACCAATTCAAGTTTATTTTCTCCAGTGCTACAAAAAGCTTATCAAAAAAACTAGAAACATTTTACTAAATGTTTTATACTGCTCTGCCTTACATATCTTGTGGAATAGAGCGGCCAAGAGAAAGGCCCCGTTCAAAGGCGGGCCACCCTCCAAGCGCGGTGGGG